TATATATATATATATATATATATATATATATATATAGTCTACAAAGATTTAACTTATTTTTTAAGCATTTAAAATTTATTAATAAAATTTGTGAAAATTGATAGTATAAGTACACTTGTTCAAGTTAACTGAAGCAGTACTAAAATATATATTTTAAAAGGTATTTATTACTATTCTCCACTGTGCTTTGCGAGAGCTCTTACTGAACAGCACATGTTCGATGACAGAGTGCCCAGGCACGAATGCAATGTGAGTGCAGGCCGTAGGGGGAAACGGAAGGGGGGAAAAGCATGCTTCAGCCTGGTTCATGGCAACTGTACAGTGCGAGTACGCCCTCAGACAAACGATGAATCCAGTCTGCACTGCCATTAGCATCCTCCGCCTAGTTAATGCTAGCTTGCACATAACATTACCATAACGTCTTCTATACCCTCATTCTCCTCATCATGGGTCTGTTTGAAGGAGTGAATACATGAAACATGCCTCAATAAAGATGCACCCTCTCCTCTTTTTCTCTTGTGATTGCCAAATCCACTTGTTCACTCATTTTGATCTACGGCAAATACTACACTACAGTCCGCTCAATTCAGTGCAGGTTATTTCAAAACTTACATGCACTTCACCAATTAGAGCACGCTGTTTAGTTAAAAAAAGTAAAGAAGCAAAGGAAAAAATCTGCATGCTTTTTATACATGGTGACATTTTCTGACAATTTAAATACAATGATAATAATAATATATGATATTGACTATTTGCTAAGAGGAAATGCCTAGTTTCTAAAAAAAATGTTTTTAAAGAGAGGGAGGCAACCTTTATTAAGGCATGTGCAACCTATTAAATGCTCTTCAACAGAGCCATGAGGTAGGAGAATATGGGTGAAGTAGCGCTAGTTGTGGCAAATGATAATCGACAGGCTAACCAGGGTTTGGGAAAGGGCGACTAATAGTGGTGTAACGGATCCAAAATCTGCAGTTCGGATCACTCTACGTTTTTTGAGTTATGGATCGGACCATTTTTTGGATCAGCAAAAAAGGGAGGAGACAATTTGCTTTCCATTTATACAAAAATGTTACTGCATAAAACATTGCTTTTAACAAACAGAATATAGAACCTGTAATTTAAATAAAAAATAAAAATCAGGAAATAACCAGCTAAAAAAAAAGTATTCAATATGAAATATGATCTTTGCTACTGTTGCTGATAATGCAAAATATATAGAAATCTTGTACAACATATATTTATCTTCAATTAATGATTCAACAATTCACACATAAAACTTCATGTTTCATTATACTGTAGATGTATTATATTTGAAAACCTATTCAATGACATAATTTTGATGTTTGTTTGTCGCCATCTGTTGGTTACACAATGTAGTTGCTTTCACCAGCATCTTGTTTCATTAAACAGTGATTTTATTCTTACCATAATGAATGCATTAATGCAGGCTAAACAAACAGTGACAAAAAAACACCTTAATAGCCAAAAGCATTTAGGTAGGTCCCACAACGTCATCATTATATTTTACAGGGAAGCCAAAATGCTTTCATTCATGCAATTTGAATGATACGGGAGGCGATCTTTCTGCGATTGTTATAAATGTTGGATTAACCTACAAGTTCAAAAAAAGTTATTAATCTACGAGTCACGCGCATTCCGAACCGTGGGTTGTGATCCGTATCGATCACGGATCAACAGTGATCCGTTACACCCCTAGTGACTAACATCACAAATAAATAAATACAAATGAATTCTATTAAGATGTTGCTAACATTTGAAAATAACTTTATTATATATTTAAAATAACTATTTAGAGAAATAAGATAAACATCATCAAAACACACGAGGCACTTGTGACTTTGTTTAACATTTGCATTATTTTATTTTATTTTTAAATGTTTCCTACCTATTAAAAATAAATGTATTTCCCATCTGATATGCAATGGGGAGAAAAATAATAAGAATAAGTTCAGCTGACGGTATATTAGAACTCGAGTTGATGATCAATCGCGTCAAAACATGTTGCTATGTGCATTACAAGTTACACCACTGGCGCTATTTAGTTATGTTGTCTCTGTCGGTCAGACATCACTTGTCTGACAAAATTTGTGTAAATGGCTTATTCCATCAATGTGTGTTATTAACCATTGGTTAATCAGGCCCTGGATAGTATACAATCTTTAATAGTTTTAACTTTTCACTAATATGGAAATCATTAATATTAGCATTTTTTAGACTCTTAAATTAAACATTAACATTTTAAAGTGTGGTTTTCAATTAGGACATTTCTTTTTATTATTATTATTATTATTTAAATGTTATTTGTTGACATTTATAATGTCATGTCATCAAATCATTCATGACTTAATTTTTTTGTGTTAAATTAAACTCCTTTTTGCATCTTAACATTTTATACACTATGCTTATAATGAAACATTAACTGGGGGTTACCTGCAGTAAGAAAAAACATGTACAAAACTTTGGTACCTTTGATGTCACTGATGTACCTCCACGTAAGCATGTCTTTATCCTTCCCCAACCTCACATGATGAGCAGCATCTTTCAAAGGATTTAATCCTCTGCTTTGACTCTTACCACCATTCATTCACTGTTAAAATATTATATAAGGTTAAACTTCACAGTTTATAATATCAATACAATACCACATATGCAAAGCAGTATTAATATATGTGACGTAAGTTAGTGTAAAATTCTCTAAAGAAGACCAAAACAGAACAAAATAGTAATATAGTTATCAAATTTCATAATACAGTTATCACATTTCAAACCATTTAACAAAATATAAGTTAGTAGTGCACTATTTTGACAATTTGATCAAATAAAGTTATTTAACTAGGGTTAGTTAACCTCTTTTCATAATAAAAGTTCATTTATTCAAATGTACAGTTTAACTGAACACAAGTTTATCACAAAAAAACATTAGAAAAAATAAAACCACACATTTACATTAGTAAATTCAAACATTTTGTTCAATCATGCTTAATAATTCAAGTTTAGTAAATTGTTTCTACGTCATATTTATGTTTAATATACCTTGTTACCATGTTATTTATACCATATTCGAATGGTCATTGCTTCTCACATAAAAGTATGTGTAGAAAAAAATCACAAATTACATAGTGCATCTATTATAACGTTACATCTCATGGAATCAGACGGCGAATTGTTTACCGCGGAGGAGTGAGCTCTGCCCGGTTCTGGGTTAAATCGACACCGGCGCTTCCAAGCCAGATACAGGCCGAGCGCGTGCTATTATTAGCAAATACACATTTTGAAGAACTAACTTACGTCTGATACTGCCATTACAAACACATATTTCTAACGTTTATTTGTTCTCATCTTCTGTTCCCAGTCACTAATTATTATTGTCTAAAACAGTACGCGCCGCATATAAATCTATAAATAAACTTGCTATTTTGAATAACAAGTGGAATAATACAGTACATATAATAATAAATAATGTACAAAGTATTAAAAACAAATGACTTACTTGTTTGATGTGAGTTTCACTGCTTGAAGCGCGACTGTCACGTCCACAGTCTTCATGAGGGACGTTTTCCCGCGATTGAATGTATGGCGCGAAATTGTGTAAGATTTGGCGCGAGTGTGTATAGAAGTGCAGTACCAAGTTCCGCCTACAGAGGCGCTGTTCAAAGATCACACATACACATCATGGTTTACAAGACCATATTTGTAAAGGTCATAAAAAGCACACCAAGTGTAATAATAACCAAATAACAATGTGAACTTTTGAAACAAGTCTTATAATTATCATTTAGGTCATTGTAATGAATAATCATAATTTAAACCATTTTTAATATCAACTTAAATTTTTAGTTTATGAGACCACCAAAAATGGTCTCATAAACTAAATGGTCTCATAATGCTGGTGGGTAAACCTGAAAATTGGTTCCATAAACCACATATGCCAACACACACACACACACACACACACACACACACACACACACACACAGCTGAAGCTCATCTTTCATTACCTGGGCTATAAAGAGAGCACTCACACTAACATTATTGCTGAGTCTTGTAAACTGAATTGGGAAAATTACGACGCGTTTTCCTTGCCTTGCCGGTTTGACCCTTGCCTTGTTTGTTTGTTTTACTGTTTATTCTTGTCTGCTACCTGTCTTCTGACCACTCGTCTGTTATTTGTTTATGACTCTGGACTATCTGCATATACCTGTTTGCCCCTGTGTTGACCGTTGCTTACCTGAACATTCTCAATAAACCTGCATTTGGATCTGTACCTCTCTTTTCAGCGTCCGCTTCAAATTACAGAAATAAACAGTGCTTCACGGTCTTAATGCTATTCAGGTACAGAAATTAAATAAGCAAATGTAAAATTACACTTTGGCCTTTATCACATTAATAACTTTATTAAAGTTACAAATTACGCAATTTCTTGTACCTTAATACTCTTCTGAAATTCTTACGGTCCTTAAAAACCCATGCAAATTATCAATTGTTTCTATTGTTACAACTCCTGTAAAACTATAATCCCTACTTAACATTGCAGATCTTGCGATGTGACTATTGCGAATGCACACATTGCAATATCAACGCTGAATCAATGGAACCTTTTCACAAGCATGTTATAACGCGTTTTTTAGCATCTTAAGTCCTTGCAATTATTTATTATTTAGATTTTTTTTTTTAAACGTATGAATATTTATATGTATGTAAGTATGTAGTATATCATCTTTGATTCAAATTACATGTACAAACCAATTACCGCTTGTGCGAGGCATTTCTAATGCAGAGTCTATGGGACAGGACAGTAAAATTGGCGTTATTCTCCCCTCTGGTTGCCTTCATCAATCTCACACAATTATTTTCCTTTTTCTGAAATATTTATAACATCATCATGGATATTTTATTTTATTATTTGATTGTAAAAAAATATATATTTGTTGTACTTTCCCATTTTCTATGTCCTGAGTTTTGTTGGTTTATTGACTGACCTGTTGGCTCTCCTGGTATGATGGTGGAGGGACGCTCTGTGTGGCCATCATGGTCAATGCTGGTGCTGGGGACACATGTTGCATCATGGGATAGCTTCACATGGAGACCCTGAAGCAAAGAAAACAGTGACATAAAATATTATTTAGAGTGAGTAAAATGTGGATCTTGGCAATATATCAGTGTTTGAAATGATATTTGAATGATGCAATAATATTTGTTAAAAATAACGTTTTCTTCAGATATAGATAATGTATAGTTACAAAATACAGTTTCAAAGCATTATTACTGGAACAATTCCAGGACCTACCACCAGGAGCTGCTGTCATTAAACTCAAAAGAAAATTGTCAAACAATGCTGGAGGAACTTAATGTGTTAAATAAAATGAAATTACATGAAATGAAATAAAATAAAATAAAATAAAATAAAATAGAATAGAATAGAATAAAATAAATAAATAAATAAATAAATAAATAAATAAATAAATAAATAAATAAATAAATAAAAATAAATAATAAAATAAAATAAAATAAAATAAAATATTTTTGGCCAGGTCATTAAATTTAGATTTTTTTTTTAAATATAGTGCCCACACAAAGGCTGATTTTAATTTAATCCTTGTGGATAACAAATCTATGAAAAAAAAAATAAAAATAAATAAAAATCAATACATGACATAAAAAAAATATTTTAAAAATAAAAATAAATAAATAAACAAACAAACAAATAAATAAATAAATAAATAAATAAATAAATAAATAAATAAATAAATAAATAAGTAAATAATGCTAACATGTTTAGGCTTATTTGATTTTTTTAAAATTTGCAATTGAAGCTATATGAACTATAAATGGGCTATAAATAAATAAATAAATAAGAAAAATGTTTTGAAGGATTAAGTCATAGCTAACAAAGTCTATTTTAAGCCTTTGAGGATTTGTAGGCTGCAAACCTTTTTAAATAAATTGTGAATGAAAAATAAAATAAAATAATGTCCACTTTATGAAAATCTTGTGCAAAAACTTAATTTACTGTGAGTGATTTATATATTCAAATATATAAAAGATAAAAATTGTCACCAGATCCAAGGTATTAGTAGCAGGATAATTGAGCAATCTAACAGACCACTGACAGTCCAGAAGCAACACAAATGTTGCAGTGTATCTGTCCAGAACACAAAATCAGGTGCAGGTAGTGTACATGATGAGTTAGTGTTTTTCTCAGGTAAACACATCAACCCCAACAGGCCAATCAGGGGCTCATTAGTTCTGTTGTCAGAAGCGTAATTGACACTGGACAGGGAAGGTGGACTCCGGGGATGGTGCACTATGGGACACCCCGGACAAAGATAATTGGCCCCCAGTCACCACACACAGACCCCTGAACCCCATTTTTGAGTCAGGTTATAGCAAGTATATGACAACAATCTTTACTCTTTCTTAACTTGACTGAGGTTTTTATTTGCACATATTTTGAAATTTCATAAGATTTTAAAATTGAGTTTTAGTTTGGTTTAATAAAACAATAAAGTGAATCTAATAAAAAAAATGAGTATAAAGGAAAATCAAAGTAAAGCAAAATGAAATGAAATGAAAAGAAAACAAAAATCGCCGTAAATGAAGCAAAACAAAAAAAAAAGAGAACAAAAGCACAAATATTCTTGATCGTTTTAAACAGATGTTTGAATTTTCAGAAAGACGGAAAGAAAGAAAAGTTATTTTCAAGTTGTAACTGAGCTACTGAGTCTATTACCATAAATAACTTTGAGTGTGGAATAGTGTCTCTCCTTATTGATTTTCCCATCTGTCAGAGAATTAGTGGCATCCAAACACAAGAGGACAGCCAGAAGTGTTACAAACTATTTTCTCTTAAATCAGGTTTTGGTTCAGTTATCATTACACAAATCACATTTGAGTTAATATATATATATATATATATATTATTATTATTATTATTATTAGCCCCCCTGTTTATTTTTCCCCAAATTTCTATTTAATGGAGAGAAGATTTTTTAACACATTTCTAAACATAATAGTTTTAATAACTCATCTCTAATAACTGATTTATTTTATCTCTGCCATGATGACAGTGAACAACATTTTACTAGATTCAAGACACTTCTATGCAGCTTAAAATGACATTTAAAGGCTTAACTAAGTTAATTAGATTAACTAGGCAGATTAGGGTAATTAGGCAAGTTACTGTATAATGATGGCTTGTTCAGAAGACTATTGAAAAAAATATAGCTTACAGGGGCTAATATTTTTGATCCTAAAATGGGTTTTGAAAATTAAAAACTGCTTTTATTCTAGCCAAAAAAAAAAAAAAATATATATATATATATATATATATATATATAAAAACATTAAAACATACAAAAACTGTATGGAAATAAGTATTCAAATAAAAAACTGGCCTTTAGTAAAAAAATGAATAAAATTTACGAAAAAACGCAATAGAAAAATAATAAAACAAATATGTTTAAGGCACATAAAATTTCCCCCAAAAAAACCAACTAAATCTAAAAAAAGATATATATATTAAAGTTATCATTTTAGACAGTTTAACTGCCTGTTTTATTAAAATAAAATGTAATTTAATTAAATGCAATTTGCAATCAAAGCTATATGGACTCCAAAAAGGCAACTAAACTAAACTAAACTAAACTAAACTAAACTAAACTAAACTAATTTAAACGAAAACAAAACAAAACAAAACAAAACAAAACAAAACAAAACAAAACAAAACAAAACAAAACAAAACAATTAAGCTGATATTTGTTTTTAGGTTTTAATTGCAATTGAAGCTATGGACTACACATTTACAGGTTAAACAAAATAAAATAAACTTTTTTTTGTTTTTAGGTTTTTAATTGTAATTGAAGCTTTGTGGACTATAAAAATAAAATAAAATATTTTATAATAAATGAAAAAATAAAATATAATAAAACATAATAAGCAGGCTTATTTATTTTAGGCTTACTTTTATTTGCAATTAAAGCTATATGAACTACAAATATACAGATAAAAAAATAGAAAATTATTTAAAATAACTAGAGAGTTGTTCACCCTTTGGAATTATCACACTAAAGTCCATATACAATATGATATAAGTGTATTTACATATGTAAATATATAACACTAAAACAGCAAAGGAAATACTGACCATTTGAGTAGCCTAACACAAAAAAGACAGCATTTAAAACCATAATTAAACTCAATACATCTTTCTGTTCACTTTTCATTCCAGAACTTCATGAAAATTACACCCAAATCATTATAGTTATCATTTCCGACGGTTTGACCCCCCAAAACGCAGTCTTCAGTCCGCCATTGAGAGCCAAGCTTTTAAGCAGCAGATGTAAGCAGTTGCAAAGAATACTAAAAATACATAAGCAATCATATATAATTACTCTGATAGAACAGTACGATCACATCTGCCGAGTTACTGTGGGAGGAACCTCTGCTCCGTTTGGTAATTACACCAGACATAAATCACTCATTGAAAACGTGACCTATAAAGCTCTTTCCGTGCTTTAGTAATAGTCATTTTCTCTCTTGAGAACAGCTTGTTAGATCATAACTAGAGCTGGAAATCTTAAAGACACAAGCATTTATAAATAGCTGCATACACCTATGGAGGAAAAAAATAAATACTGTAAGAGACCATTTGAATATTATCAGATTATTTGTATTTACTGGATTTATTATGCATGGCTTTAAGTAAAATCTTTATATTTGTTTCATTATATAAACAATTGGTTCAAAATTTAAAAAAAAAAAAATTGTGACTTGTAACTTTTTCATAAAATGACAATCAGGATGAATAACAATATATTTTATTTGTTATTCCACAAAAATTCTGTGGTATTTCATGACAAAACTGCTTTAATTGACAATATAGATTTTTTTTTATTCTGTAAACTATTTATGGCATTTCTTTTGAATTTAAAACAGAATTGCTGTCATTTAAAGCCTTTGGTGAGCATACAATAACAAATACAGATGCAAAGTTTTCAGATATTATCGTTATTTGGTGGAATAAACCGGATTTTTTTCGCACCAGAATAATTTGCCATTTTCAGGAGAAAAACAACAACTTGGTTTTATCTTTTTCATAATGAAACGTAGTAATTTTATGCAATATTAAATGCTCTAAATGACAATATGTGTTCGAGTAAAACATAAATTGTGTTTTATTCTATGAGCTACTGATGACATTTATTCCTAATTTAAAGTAAATATGTTGTCATTTGAAGCCTTCGGTGAGCATGAAATAGCATATATATATATATATATATATATATATATATATATATATATATATATATATCAATCATTTTTAAACACCATTTTAGGGACAATATTATTAGCCCCTTTAAGCTATTTTTTTTTCTCGATAGTCTACAGAACAAACTATTATGTTTAGAAATGTGTTGAAAAAACAGAAATTGGGGAAAAAATAAACAAGCGGTCTAATAATTCAGCGGGGCTAATAATTCTGACTTCAACTGTATATATATATATATATATATATATATATATATATAAAATAACATTATATATTTATATAACTTTTTATTATGTTTTTTTATTTTATTTAATATAATAAAAATGAGCTATTTGTACTAAATTAAATGCTCTAAAGGATAATGTATTTATTGTATGAGCTACTGATGACATTTCTACTTAATTTAAAGTAAACGTGATTTAGGGCCTTTGTTGAGACTAAATTAAAAAATAAAGATGCTAAGTTTTCAGATATTATCATTATTTGTTAGAATAAACCCAGATTTTTTGTCACAATTTATTTTTATTATTTTGACTAATTGCCATTATTTACATACAGTAAACAACTACTGATGACATTTCTTCCTAACTGAAATTAAAAATGTTGTCATTTGGAGCCTTTGCTGAGCATAAAATGAAAAATAGACATGCCAAAACGTGCTTTGGTTCAGTTTACTGGCCGTTTACTGTCAAAAGGCGTACCAAACCGAACCGTACCCTACCACTTTTTGGTCACCCCTTTGCAAAGGGTACAAAAGGGTACCAAAAGGTGGAGCTAGAAGTGCAGCTGAATGCTATTCGTTTACAGAGATAAGTCATTT